AAAAAAATCAGAATTTTGGAACTTTAATATTTGTTGAAAGGTTGTTCCAACCCGACCAAACCGACCCAACCCGACCGACATTTGGTTGGGTTGGGTTTCAATCATTTGGTTGGGTTGGGTTGAATTTCGATCAAACCGATCGTATTGGGTTGGGGTTGGGGTTGGGTTTGGGTTTGGGTTGGGACAAAAATCGACCCAACCCAACCTACGCCCACCCCTAGCGAGGAAAGCGATTGCAGAGGCTAGACCAGCTATGCCAGTTGAGATAGAAGGGTTAAAGGTACTTCCGATGGCGAGTGATGATATCGTTGTTGTGGAGTCTGAGGAAAGAGCGAGGATGCTTAGTGAAGGAAGGAAAAAGAAATTTGAGAAGGATAGACTTATGAAACTGGAAGAGGAGAGGACAAAAACTTCAGAATCAGAAGAAGAGGAAGAAGAGACTAAACCTAAACTGGTTGAAGTGCCAATGATCGTCAGAGCAGATGTTCAAGGCACTGTCCAAGCAGTTTCAGACTCTGTGAAGAATTTGAACAGTTCGCAAGTATGACAATAGTTCTGAATTCTGATGACCATGAGACCTTGCACCCCGACAATGATAGTGAAGACAACAGAAACAAACTTGTTGACCGTGATTCTTTTCTTTAATGCTTTTTCTTATTTTATAATCACTGGGTAATGTTTATATTCTCCAGTTCCGCATCTTCCCGACGCTTAGCTAATTTAATTAATTGTTTTCTTAGGTTTTTGTGAAGGTTGTTCATGCTAGAGTTGGGCCTATTTCTCAGTCTGATATTGATATGGCACAAGCTTGTGGTGCATGTATTGTTAGATTTAATGTGCGGGATCCTCCTAGTTCTATTGCTCTGGTTGCTACACAAGCCAAAGTGAAGGTACAAGGTTTTGCTGAAACTTAGATCATGTTTAACTGAGCTTAAGACTTAGATCATGTTTAACTGAGCTTAAGAAAAAGTAGAAGTTTGTTTCCAAACATTTTTGGGGGACTTTTTCTTAATTTCAAGGAAAAATACTTGCTTATTTTTAAAGTAACTCTCATTCTACTTTCGAAGTAAGGAATGAACTTGTTCTCCAAAAAAACAATGAAAGAATTATTTATTTCAAAACTTTATTTAGGTACGAGTAAACTTTTTAAGCTTAGCCAACCATGCTCTTAGACGCTTGAAATTTGAGTTTTGACTATTGCAATTTGGGAGTCATGGTATGTTACTTTGATTAGATGGTAGCATGTTTGCTGGGCAATTTATAAATGGTTTATAAATAGGAATGGTAAGAGGAAAAACATTGGGTCTTACAAAATGTGTGGATAATAAGAACTTCTTTGAGCCCCATTTTTTCTTAAGCCCCTATTTGGTTTGGATTAAAATCCAATTTAAATTTCAAGTCAAAGTCAACAATTAATTTTAATCACATATTTTATCATTTTTTTATCAAAGTCTACTAAAAATCTTATTTTAATCTCTACCAAACAAGGGCTAAGAATGCATTTTAGAAGAGTAGATTGATGGAGAATGTGTGGTTGAAAAATAAGAAAAAATTTGAGTTTGCGTGTAATATTATTTTATTGAAGAATGTGTAGTTGAAAAAAAGAATGTATTTTGAAAATAATGGAGATCAAACAAGGGCTAATTAGTAGTTATGAATGTGTGGTTGAAATTAATGTTTGACTTTGATTAAACTTATAAATCATTTATAAATTGGTATACAAATGGAATACATGTTTTGGAGTTGTTTATATCAAAAATCAATAGAAATCGCCAGTGAATAAATACTTGTGAGTCGTACAAAATATGTAGATAAAAAGTAGTTTGGCCGTTTATAAACAAGTTTAAAAAGGTGGCTAAACATGGGCAAAATAATCTAGTAGTTTACTTACTCTTGATAATCATTGGTTGTAGATAAAATTGCATCGCTTGATCTACCATATTTTGGATTACATTGGAAATTTCATTGTTGAAAAGGCTCCTGGAACCCTTGAGACTCAGATTGCAGGAGAAGCCCAGGTGCTGAATATCTTCGAACTCAAAGGGAGGAGCAAAGCCAAGGGAGACGATGTGAGGATTGCGGGTTGCAGAATGATAGATGGCCTTGTGACTAAATCATCAACACTAAGACTTCTTAGAAGCGGGGAAGTTGTTTTCGAAGGATTGTGTGCATCTTTGAAACGCGAGAAACAGGACGTGGAAGCCGTTGGCAAGGGGAACGATTGTGGGCTTGTGATCAAAGATTGTTTTGATTTCCACGTAGAGATGTTATTCAATGCTTGGTACAAGTGAATACAAAACCAAAGTTAGTTTCATTAGAGTGGGGCTGTTCGAATTGAATGCTGATATTATTATAATTTGGGTCTTGAATAACCAGTGTCGGCTTATACAATTTTTGTCAAGTAGGTAAAGGAATTTTGTTATAGGTCTAGAATAACATCATTTTTTTTGCCTGGAAATCAATTTTTTTTATTTGAACTGAGGCCTTTGAGGGCCCTGTTGAGTCACTGAATAACACAGAACTACGTGAAGCAGAGACATCACTAATTTGTTAATCTGGCGAAGAGACAATTTTTAGTTTTTTATACAAAAGCAGTCGTGTACTGAATGATGGAAGAAGAAATTGTACGTTATGATTGATGATGTTGAGTGTTATCAGCTTCTCTGTATACTTCTTGTTGGGCTTGTTAATATGCTATATGGTTCATTCCTCGTCATTTGTTCTATGGTGCAAAAAATAATCGTGAACAAGGTTATGAATGAGGTTACCTATGTCGGGATGTGCATCTTGAATGCTTGGCCTCCTGCAAATTCAAGTTTCTACACTAGGGGCCGAGTAACTTTTGGCCAGAAGTGGGTGGCAGCCACCACCAGCGCTGGAGGAATTTAGTTTTCAATAACTGTTTGAAGGGATATTAACCTGTGGATTTACAATTTCTATTTAAAACCAAATTTGAAGAATTATTTCCCAAATTGAATGTCATCTGTCATTCACGTCAAATCCTTCATCCCCAATTCGAAATGACCCAGAACTCCATTAGCGTCTTCACTCCTTGTTTCTCTACTAACAAAGGTAGTCTCTCATTCTTTATGTCTATGTTGGAATTTTGTATCGGAAATTGATTGTGACCAATTTAAATGATTGAAATATGCTACTTGTACATAATGCCGTGTCCATAAAGGTGTCCACCCACTCACATGGAGGGGGGCCCACTTTGGATATATTATATTTTGTTCAAAGTGAGTCCCCCTCCATGTGAGAGGGTGGACACCGTTATGGACACCCCATTATATACGTGTAGCATCACCGTAAATGATTTAAGCGGAATTCGTTGTTTGGTGAATGAGAAATTAAGCCTTACTTAAACCGTTTAATACTTGAAATTGTTGGAAAAATCGTATAGAATTTTGTGGAATATTCTAGAAAATGTGTAGATGAAAATAAGTGTCTTTTCATATGGAAGATCATGACCTTTG